TTCTCTCTCTGAAACATTTAATTTATGCCTCATATCCACGAAGGGGTGACCAGAGATGCACATTACGGCATTTAATACCATTGTACAATGTAACACCCACTTTTCATTATTTATGTTATGAGTCCCATGTAATATGGGGCGAGCCTATTGCCATGTACCGGGCACAATTCCAGACTCCATGCTACTAGTGATTTTTTTAAACCTAGTAATTCTTTGACATACCTGGGAATCGAACCCGAGACTCCATGCCCGGCAGTCACACTTGTGAACACTTGGCCAACGAGGTAGTGCCAAATTTATGAAGTCCTATGTAATAAGGGGTAAGCCTATTAATTAAACAAAATCACTACAAATTGTAAAACAAAGTCGCTATCCGCCGTCTGTCTGTCCCTATGTATGCTTAGATCTTTAAAACTACGCAACAGATTTTGATGCGGTTTCCCTTAATAGATAGAGTGATTCTTAAGGAAATTTCACTTCGTTAAGTAATTTTACTTATTATGCTTATTTTACTTATTATAAAAACTGAAGAGCACTTGTCTGCACTGTGACCAATGTCAAAGTCAAAGTCAAAATCATTTATTTCAATTAGATCAGGAAGGCACTTTTGAACGTCAGCAATAGAAATTTAAAAAGTAAAGTTATTTGCACATTCCAAGGTGTAGATTCCTATGGAGAAGAACGAGCAAGAAACTTCATAGGTTACTCTTTTCCAATCAGGTTCACAATACAATTCTCAAGTTACACAAGTTTTATTGGTTCGATTCTGCGAGAATAATGTAACACCAAAGTCAATGTTAATTTAAAAATCCTTTCAAAATAATGAGAATAAATAATCTTATTATTGTACTTCTAATATTGCTACTCTCATAATAAATGAAACATTAATCATTGGGGTTCGATACAATCTTACACGTTCTTGAGATTCGAGGAGCGTCTCAAGTGATGAAGGGAAGATGGCTGATTAGCAAAGTTCGATGCCAGGCCAAGGTCAAAATACTAATGAAACAGTACATTCAGACTACAAAATAACTGATATCAAAATGTAAGTACTTAAAGTATTTATTCACTTTACCTCTACATTAAAAAAAAAATAAAAAGTATTGAAAATAAATTCGTAAATTGAATTTTAATAATCAATATTCATAATATTATCATTAAAATATTTATACGCTTTAAATTGCTTTCGCATTTTATTGCAAATTGATTCACTTAATGTTTATAGATAAGATTTCCATGAAATTGTGTCTCACGGAAACTTTTTAAAACGTTATATTTCATAAATTATTTCAGCGTAATGAAATTAAGTAATTCCCGTTAATAGAACTTTTTTACACTACACAAAATGATTACACTGCGATTTTGGACACAAAACTAAACATGAAGCGAACGCATCAACCGGTAGCCTCCATCTGGGAAACTAGCGATTGGCTGTCAGTCGTGACGGGACCACAGATTATAAAATCTTTTTTTCTTTCCTTAACTCGTCGAGTACCGGTTTTATAGACACAATTAAAGAACAATAGGTTGCGGTCACCGGTGACCGCTTGGTGTTTGACAGTTTAAATGGCAAACGAGTCTACAGTATTGTCGAATAATATACTGCCTACTAATGTAATTAATTTATTACTGGGGAGTCAAAAATTTTTTTACAAGTGTGCGAAGGCACGGTAGGACAGTTCCATTTGTAATTTTTTTTAAAATTGGTATATTCTGAACAAACTATACACAGGTTTTGCATATATGAATATTTAAGATGACAAACTGCTACTTATGAGACGTTTATTATCATTACGATACAATACGAGGTGTTTTGTAAAACAACTGCTAAGGTTTATTTTTATTAATATTTTTGTATCTCATAAAAACAAATTTTCACTAGTTAGCACAACATAAATATCTGATTTCAATTAAAAGCAAGTTGGTATAGTAACAAACGATCTGTTACCGCCAGCCAACGTAATCGAGAATACCGCCCGCTGAGGTATAATAATTATCATGTGAACGCGTGGCCCACTGGGAGTGATCCCTGCCAGGGATTAGTGGTGGGATAGCCCGGGAAGCGATAGGACCCCGCGCCCCGGACTCCGGAAATTCATGACACCCCGGGGCGGACCATTCTTTTTGTCCCGTTATATTGCTTTTGCTAACTTTCTAGTTATATGAGAGTGTGCTAAAGCAACATTTCTCTAGACGTGCAAAGAATGGTGTCTTGTGAAACACTTAGATATTTTATTCGCAAAATACAGCTAGTATGTGCTTCTTTCTAGAAGCTTTGCATGGTTAAAATTTATTTTACAATTTTAGAAGTACGTAGGATATTTCTTGGTTTATTTTTCCAACTTTACCGAGATAGTAATTATAAATAGCAGAGATACCGCTTAAGTAAACACAATAATCTATATAAATAAGAATGAATTTCCGTTCGTTAGTGTCGCTAAAACTTGAGTATGACTGAACAGATTTGGCTAATTTTAGCCTTGAAATGTTCGAGGTAGTCCAGGGAAGGTTTAACTCGTCGAGTACCGGTTTTATAGACACAATTAAAGAACAATAGGTCGCGGTCACCGGTGACCGCTTGGTGTTTGACAGATTAAAGGTGAGCAAAGAACTTTTAGGCAGTACAAAGTTTGCGGGATCAGATAGTTTTAAATATTATTTTAATTACATCATACCGCTAAGTAAAGTATTATTTTAATACCAGTAATCTGTAGTTATAGTAACCAAATTTATTAGTATTGTGTAGCATCACTATAACTAACTGCATTAATTTTACATTCTTTAGAAGTATTATTGAACGTTCGCTCATTAGTAAAACCCTCGTTCTAAGAAGTGGAAGCCTTTTAGTTCGGAGCATAACCTCGTAAGCAGTATGACAAATGATATATTATCACAACGGACTTCGCTTAAGAGCTTCGTAATCGGCCATTTTCCTTAATCGGTCTTCGCTACTAGCAGAGGAAAATTAACAGCTGATACTTTGTTTTTCTACATTTTACTGCACATTGGTGTAATATCCACCCAACTTATTTATAGAAGTCCTATGTCTAGGGTATCTATTTCCACACACGTTTTATATTTACATACTCAATGTTCTTAGTTTAGACTGCCTCATTGGCCGATTGGTCGCAAGTGCTACTGCCGGGCAAGGGGTCTCGGGTCCGATTCTCGGGTCGGGCAAAGTATTACTAGGTTTAAAAAAAATCTCAGTAGTAGCACGGAGTCTGGAATTATGCCCGGTATATGGCAATGGGCTCATCCCCTACTACATGGGACTCATAACATAAACAGTGAAGAGTGGGTGTTACATTGTACTGTGGCATAATGTGCAGCACCTCTGCCTACCTCCCCTCCCCCTACGGGGTTATATTATCGAAAATGGGATTATTCGAATACTTTTTGCTCTTCAGTCACATCAATTGTGTTTACCAACGTAGAAATTATTACCTCTTTGTTCTAATTATTGGTTAGCCCATAAAGTTTTTAAACGTTGCCCCACACTAGGATATTTTCCGGTATCGTGGGTGCGTTGCCAAACCTACAATTGCATGGCCACATCATATCCAGACCCAGAACAACAATTTATGAATGGCATAGTCAATTTTACTATGTAATAGATACTATATTACATAGGCATGTGTATGTATGAGTGTTTAGATCAAAACAAAAAGTCATGTGTGTTTTTCTGAGGGAAAACAAAATAGCAGTTGGTACAAGTGATAAGGGTTAAAATGTCAATCCGGATTGTGGATCATTTTTGCGGTGTTCTAGCGGTTTGGGAAGCACAAATGTTTTGTTTTGTGTCCTACATATTATGAAATATGTATAGTTAAAAGTATGTTTCATGGTTAAAATAAATTATATTATTTTGAAATGAGATTATAATTTTACGTTGACATAGTTTTTAATTTAAGTTAACGTTAAGCTTTATCATGTATGGGAAAGCCATGCTTCGGTGCGAATGGGCCGGCTCGACCGGAGTGATACCACGGCCTCACAGAAAACCGACGTGAAGCAACGCTTGCGTCGTGTTTCGTCGTGTGACTGAGGTTACTGGAGGCCCAATTACCCTCCCCTTCCCCAATCTCCCCAATCCCTGAATCCGTAACGATCCTCAAACTCCTAATCACCAAAAGGCCGGTATCGCACTTATAACGCCTCTGGTGTTCCAGGTGTCCATGGGCGACGCCGATTGCTTACCAACAGGTGATCCGTCTGCTCATTTACCGGCTTATGCCATAAAAAAATTATTATTATTAGGCACGTTATTTAGGTATGTTTATAAAAACCACTATTTGTCTTCTCTCTACTTTAATCATGATTGCACTGTAGTGAATTCAACCTACTCACTAGCTACGCACAAAGACATCCAATGAATTCTATAAAAAGTAAATTTAAGTAAAAGAAAAACAAAACCTAAGTAGATTAAACAATAAAAAAATACAAATTCAATTGTATCAAAGTCAAAAAGTTGATAATTATCAATAAACCAAAAGCAATTTCAATGAATTTATTTGAACAACTTATTAAGTCTTGGCATTAATACGTACAGTAACAAGGAGAACAAAGAAAACAATGGAGACGCCAAATAAAAGACAACAAAATAATATAAGTCTAGCATTTACTCCGTTATATTGTCCAAAGTCTGACAAATCAGAATGACTGTCGAAATGTAACTTTTGTCTGCTTATAATGAATTGGCTATTGTTTTCTTCACGTGTATTGTTGCGAATAGGTTAAGATAAAGTCATTGGAAATGTTACATAGATTATTGTCTTTGAAAAATAATATTTTCTTATTGTTTTTCTGTATACTCATAATAAGCCGCTAAACGAGCAGACGCATCAAGTAATGGCAAGTAATCGGCGGCGCCCATGGACACCCGAAACACCAGAGGCATTACAAGTGAGTTACGGGCTTTTTGAGGATTAAGAATTTGAGGATTGTTGAGGATTCAGGGACTGAGGAGATTGGACCACCGGTATCCTTACTCATACAACGAGAGACAACGCAAGCGTTGTTTCACGTCGATTTTCTGTGAAACCGTGGTATCACTATGGTCGAGCCAGCCCATTCGTGCCGAAGCATGGCTCTCCCACATTTAGCATCATGTACACGTACACGTGGTAGCAGCATGCACAGCTGGGCTCGCTGTCATTGCAGCGGTAAGTCCCTCTTAGACAAATCGCTACGGCATCCTCACCTACAATCTGCCGCAGGTGCTTACCGGACACGTATGTTTCGGTAGGTTCCTATTTCTGATTGGCGGAAGGCAAATTTTTCAGAACACTGTTGCTCAGCTTCTTGCGACACCAACAGAAAGATTATGGGAAGTAACATACCATTATATTATCTAAAAATACGTATATGTACATCTAATCTACGCAAGAATAGGTCACAAAATACTGAATTCCGTATAGGAATTAGGATCAGAGCAAAGCGCTGAGTCCAATCACTCAGCTAGTGTAGTCACTGAGCCGTCATAATTAGTCCTTTGTATGAACTCCAGTTATTGTTCTTCCCCTGTCGGTTGACGCTGCATATTACTTGCTTCGCTACGTGGTGGAAGCAATAACGGCTAACTTGCGTAACGTAAGAAACCAGAAAAATATACTTATAACATTTTCAATAACAATTCTACAGACAATGTTTTGGTCACAGCCAGCACATGGCTACAGCGGTGGTTAACAATTGAGTATTTAGTTCAGAGACACACACACAAACACACACACACACACATAGCACTGTTCCCTGGTGATGGTGAGCAGTTGAGTACAGTCCGACAACTATCATGAAATCAAGTATTAGTGAAAATTGAACGAGCACTACTACAAATATAAGTTTTATTGCTATAGTTGCAAGAGTCACTTTAGAATGACACCTGTTCATGGCAGAAGCTATTGCTACGCTTTACGAAGCAGTATAAAGGACTCAGTCGCGAACTACTGTTTACGGAAGGACAGGATTTTATTTTGTTTTAATTCCAGTTTTTTGTAATAGGTAGATTCAACTTCATCAAAGTTGAAAGAACTTAAAACAATATAATTCAAAATTATCACATCACTAGAATAATGATATTAATGTTTTCAATGGGTGAAAATATAAAAATATAAACATTAACTGTTACAGTCAAATTCTACAATAAACAAGTTTATATATTATACAACAAACAAAAAAAATAGGGAACCAACAAATAGTTTCGTGTGAACACAAAATCTTATCGACGCAACATTGCATGAACACAAAGCAGCCGGCTGCCGAACATCAAACAAAGCTTGCCAATAATCAGTTGATCAGTCAAACTGAGTACAATATAATTCCCATCAAGTGGACTGATGCAAGTCCATCGAAGCTAAACACAACGTTGAGCTCATTGCCCGTCCAACTGCAGTAATTGTAATTGTCTTTGCGACCAAAACTGTGACGGATCACGTTCTGATCCGAACACGTTAATCACAGTGAATAATGTACCATTTCGGATGTCCAATGAATAATCCTGATGGATCTGGCAACTCTCCTGCCACACCAAATGAACGATTTCACTATAATTCGCTTTTGGCATCGTTTTGATGTTCACAGAGAATTTGAAAATTTGGACAATCGATCGTTTTACAATATTCTCCATTTGCTTTCTATGAACATATATTTTAGTTAGAAAATTGAACTATTCCGATTTATATTTAGGTAAGTGCAATTACTATGAAAAGGCATGATAAGTAGTAAAGTGAATAATAAAGTATTCAGTAAAGCAAAATTAATATAGCCTTAAATTAAAACCTGTAAGCTATTTTATTGTTCTCGTGAAGTTCCCTTCAGATAATTAAATCAACTGTCTGTTAATATCCGAACATTGTCGACATTTAATTTATCCGACGTTAATTGTAATGTTTTGGTTGGAGCTCTCTCTCTGAGTTTTCCACGAACACTGAAAAACTAAAATGACACTTTCGGAGACCAAATACTGTAAATTATATAATTCTCTGACGATTATCGTGGAAACGAGTGGCCAATGTCAAAAGGCAGGTTGAGAATAAATAATGCCTTCTGGGAATAACCAATAGAACCGCGCCAGGCAGAAAGGTACTTAAATGGGGAAGCAAAGTAGCTTCTACTTATCTTTTCTTTACTTTGTGCCCCGGAGTGCCGAAAGTACCTAAAAGGTGATTAAGATTCAGCTGATTAGTTGAACTTGAGAATAAGATATTGCTTTACTTTTGCGCTGAGTTTAGGTGGGGGGGCAGGTAAATTTAAGCGTGACGACGGTAGCTGTCTTCGAACAATTTTTTTCTGTAGCTGCGAGAATTTTTCGGCATGAATTTTATATTTTTCTCCTATTGTTTTAATCTTAATATCTTTTTATGAAAGGAAGGCCTTCTTAATTTAATCGTGTTTGAGTATTTATACGGTTATAATTTGCAGAAGATCTGGAAAGGTCGAGAACTTAAGAATGCGAGGTTCTAAGTAGGACTAAGTAGTAATGAAATCCTATAATAATATGAACAATAATTGTAGAATTATTAATACTTACAGAAATATATTTTTTTATGTATTTATTTAGTTATTTATTCATGTACATACACAACACATACAATATACAGAAGAAAAAAAAAATATAACAAAACAGAGTACATAGACATTATGTGAGAGTGAAATAAAAGGAGTGGCATTCATTACAGTCTGCCTACGCAATGCCTTCATAATGAAAGGAATCGGTACAATAACGGTTAAAGCCAGTATTTCAATTCATACAACACAGGATGTTGCATTCTCCTCAATCGCTGTTTGCTGCCAACGTTGTTCCGACAGAAGCCCATCTATGACACGCTCAGTCAGTGTAAATGTCTTCTGGAGAACCTAAAACAATAAACAGCTCAAGCATTTTGTGTTGTGTACATGACTGACTTCTTATTTAGGCTACTGGTTTGAGATCAAAATGGTCAGTGTTTCGCTTTTTCAATCGGTTAAAACTTAAAACCCATTTTCTGTCTCAAGAATCAAGTAAGTTTAGTAAAACCAACTATTTTATTATAGCATCCAGATTTCGACAATTTAGTATATTTAATAACTTTCATGAGACATACTAAATGATTTATTATTTTTTTCGGCTTACCCACGTAATTATTATACTCGCAGCGACAGTCACCGCGTCGTGGGTCGCGGAATACTGCTTATGAATATGCTTCTAACATATGGCTAGTTTTAAGCTATGGCTTGAAATGAAACTAATCGAGTTGCTCGTCAAATAATTACGTGAGTAAGCTGAAAAACAAAATAATGAATTAAGTATTTTAAGATTATGTTGGTTACAGATACTATTAGGTAGGTACTACAATAAAGCCTTATCTGGTTTCTTATAAATATTTCCATCCAAAGGTTGTCTGGAAGAAATCACCATTGTGTGATAAGACCGCCCATTGTACGCATATTTACTTGAATTGTTAGTTTTAAGCTACTTAAATGTGTACAATAAAGCATATATAAATAAATCAATAAATAAAGCTATCAACAAACGAACTACACCACATCAAAACTAACCATCAGTTTTCACCACACAACTAGCAGCACACATAACTCTACTAGTAAATCTACCACAATATTTCTAAGTTGCTCAAGACACATTTAATCCGAGACATATTACACTGCACTATACTAAGTGACGTCACATCAGTCATTAGTTGCATTATTAAGCAGCAACTAGTTACTTTAATACATGGTTTCGCATAATTACGCTGAGTGAAGCAATTACTAATTAACTTGAGCTCTAACGACCATTTCTATGAAACATACATGAGCTCAAATCCTCGTTACAGTCTATTGATATATGATATCAGGAACAATTTTGTAAGAGTATGCATGTATGTATATTGTGTTGTTATAATCTGTAAACTACATGGATAGTAGATACGTAGTTGTTCATCAGTGGGTATATAAGCTATAACTACGCATACGTAGTTAAATATAATACGTAGTAATACGTATATAGGATATACGTAGTATATATATGCGTAGTATAGCAACACGTAGTAAAGGAAATAAATAACTTTCATTGGTGGGCATTGGGCTTTTCATGAAAGTTATTTATTTCCTTTTTAGTTTTTACTTTTCGTTTGTCTTTAGTTTTTGAAGGCGGTTTTTTTTAAAGGCATTTTTTTAATTTAATTATTTTTGTTTTAGTTTAGTACTTTGGTATATTATAAACTCAAAGACCGGGTGGCTTCTCTCAACTAATAACCATTGAAGAGTTCCCTTAGCCATCATACTACTTTATCATTGAACCTTTAATAATCATCACCCCCCCCCCATTTAGGTGTAAAGTTCCTATCAATACAAATTATGAAACCCAAACACAACATAGCTATTGGTAACCGTTGAGGAGTTCCCTCAACTATCGTACTACTTCGTCATCAGACCCTTATTGACATTACACCCCACCTAAGGGTAAAGTCCTCATCAATACAAATTAATGAAACCCAAACACAAGATAGCTACTGTTAACCGTTGAGGAGTTCCCTCGACTGGCTCTCGGCTCCATCATCAGATCGACTTCAGACCTTAATCAGATTGTAGTGGTTTTGAATACTTAATGAAAAAATTAACAAGTGCACTAGTCGACCCTACAATTTTTAAAAGTTACCCTCGGTTTCTCTTGTCTTCCAGCATCAGATCCTGATTTTATTATCATGGGACCATTCTGGGACTGTCTCCTTTCTAACAAAAAAGAATTATCAAAATCGGTTCATAAATAACGGAGATATCGGCGAACAAACATAAAAAGCATATATACGGTCGAATTGAGAACCTCCTCATTTTTTTTAAGTCGGTTAAAAATATTATGAAAATGTTTGAAAATGAAGCCTTTAAATACATTCCATGTCCACGCAATTAAACATTTCTATTGCCCTTTGTGGACAAAATATTAGTAGGGCTGACCAGAGTCCAAAAGAGAGCAGTATTTTCCGTCCGTCGATTCCGGTTGTCATAGAAAGATCTATGATAGTCGTTATAGTTAATTGGAAACCCGAAATTCTAACAGCGGGTTTAACTAATCCTTTTGATTTCTAGTGGTTAGTTGTGGGTAGATCGAGGTCGCTCTGCATAAAATACTGACTGCCAAATTACTGCTGAACGAG